GGAGGAACCAACGTCTCACTCGATCGGTCTCACTATCGATCTCACTATCGATCTCACTATCGATCTCACTATCGGTCTCGCTCGATCGATCTCACTCGATCGATCTCACCATCGATCTCACTCGATTTATTTCATTCGATCGATCTCACAATCGATCGGACTATCGATCTGACAATCGATCTCACTATCGATCTCACGATCGATCTCACAATCGATTTCACATTCGGTCTCACTATCGATCTCATTATCGATATCACCATCGATCTCACAATCAACATCAACATCAAGATCATCGTCATCAACGTCATCAACATCATCATCATCATCATCATCATCATCATCATTATTTCATCATCATCGGGACACCATCATCATCACCTCATCATCATGATCATCAACATCAGCCTCACCACCACCACCATCATCATCATCATCGTCATCATCATCATCACCGGGACACCATCATCGTCACCATCGTCATCATCAACATCACCATCATCGGGACACCATCATAGTCATCAATCGGAACACCATCATCATCTCATCATCTCCATCATCATGAACAGCATCATCAACATCATCAGCATCGCGACGCCATCATCGTCAGCAACATCATCATCATCAACATCATCATCGGGCCACCATCATCATCATCAACATCAGCATCCTCAGCATCATCGGGCCACCATCATCAAAATCATCATCATCACCTCATCATCATCCTCATCATCAACATCATTATCATCATCGGGACACCATCATCTTCATCATCATCATCAACGTCATCATCATCATCATCGCGACACCATCATCATCACCATCTCCATCATTAACAGCATCATCATCAACCTCATCCTCATCCTCATCCTCATCCTCATCCTCATCCTCATCATCATCGGGACACCAGCATCATCATCATCTTCATCATCATGAGCATCGATCATCATCATCATCAGGATCATCAACATCATCATCATCATCATCATCGGGACACCATCATCATCAGCAACATCATCATCAACATCATCATCGGGACACCATCATCATGATCACCACCATCATCATCACCAACATCGTCAACATCATCATCATCGTCATCATCATCATCATCATCATCGGGACACCATCATCATCTCCACCATCACCATCATCATCAACATCATCGACATCATCATCATTATCATCATTATCATCGTCATCGTCATCGTCATCGTCATTGTCATCGTCATCATCATCACCATCATCATCATCATCATCATCATCATCATCATCATCATCATCATCATCATCATCATCATCATCATCGGGACACCGACGGGACTCCGGCGGGACACCGGCGGGACAACGCGGGCCACCGGCCGCCCGGAAGGGAATCATTTGGTCCGGCCGCGCCTCAGCCGCACGGGACACCAGCGGGACACCGGCGGGACACCGCGGGCCACCGGCCGCCCGGAAGGGAATCATTTGGTCCGGCCGCGCCTCAGCCACAGGAGACTTTCTCTCGCCCGCCCACGCAGCTTCGCCTCGCCCGCACGCACGGCACGCACGAACACGAAACCGAAATCGATTTCCCGGTAGGGGGGCTCTCCGTTCCACTTCGATCTCACCCCCTCACCTCCGATGATAATCGTGTGAAGCAGAACGGGTGAATATAAACCGGTGAATCTAAACGGGTGAAGCAGCGTCGGGGGCCTGCGGGGGGCCCCCACGGGCGGGGGAGGCGCCCTTGAGCCACCCTCACCTTTTCGGCCTTTCGGAATCCTCCCCGCTCAGGGGCCGATCGCTTGCCTTGGAACGTGTCCCAGGCGGGCCTCGGCGTTGGCCACCGAGCAGAGAGGGGGCTTCGAGCGGCATCCTGGCGCGCCTCCAGGATCCTCTCGACACCCCACTCTCCGGTGGGCGCCTCCACGGCGGCGGGCGCCCGTGGACCCACCATCCATCCGCCGCGGCAGGGGCGGGGGTCCAGGGCGGGAGGTGTGCCCCAACCGCGGAGGGTCTCATGGAGGATGGGCAGGGCTTCGAGACGGCGCTCTCGCGGCCCTACCTGCCGCGACACGCTGGCGCGCCTGCAGGATCGTCTTGAACCCCACCCTCTTGCCCGTGGACCCCCATCCTTCCGCTGGGGCATGGGTGGGATTCCATGGCGGGAGTGGCGCCCGAACCGCGGGGTGCTTTATGGAAGGTTGGTAGGTCTTCGAGACCGCGCCTTCTGTGCTGTTGTGCACGTAGGCGGTGAGGTACGGGCGGAGGCGGTGGTGCCATGAAAGGGGGAAAGTGGAGCGAGGTGAGCTCGGATGGGCCTCTGACGTTCGCAGCGTCCGGCATGGGGTCAGGGATCCGCCTCTTCACCTCCGGTGCTCCTTCCTTTTCGCGGTAGAGCCATGAGAAGCGGGAGTGTGGATCGAGGTGAGGTCGGATGGGCCTCCGACGTTCGCAGCGTCTGGGGGGGGCCCGGGAACCGCCTCCTCAACTCCAGTGCTCCTTCCCTTTCTTGGTGTCTCACTCCCATCGCTAAAAAGAGAACATCAAGTTCTTGGGAGTGGCAAGGGCCCTGCGTAGCGCACAAGGCCCCCAGAACCACCACCCGTAAAAGAGGTATCGCTTGCACCCCGTCCCCCTCTTGCCGCCATCGCACTGCAATTCGGGTTCCCGAGGATACATCAAGCTGTCGTATCGTATGCAAAGGAAGTTTGAGGCCGGATCGGGCCAGATCATGTCAATGAGTGGGCCAGCTCACGCTAGACTCAACGGGACTGAACGGGATCAGAATGGACTAAGGAAGAGGTCGACCAAAAGTAAGCCAGGGCCGATGCTGGATTCAATCTCGCAAGAGTTGCGCTCGCCCAACCCCCACAGATGAAGAAAACCTCTTCCCCCGCCCCCCCCCTTTTAGTCCTTTGCCAGCAGAGGCGATAGCTTTTGTTGCTGATCGAGCGTCGCAGTCAGGAGCAGTTCACACGTTGCGTCCTCGCGTCCCACTCCAATCCAATCCCATATATGGACGGTCTCCGCGGCGCAGTCGCGGCCGCGGCCCCGCCCGCCGGCACCGCGCCGAAACGCCCGGTGCTCGGAGATTTTTCGGCTCCAGCAGCGGCGCGGCGTCTCCTCCTGCGCCAGAGCTCTCCAGGACGGGAGTCCAGCCGGGGAGTTCGGGGCGGGCGTCGGGCGAGCGACGCAACGAATGAACAGCGGCGAGCCTATCCATATCCACGCCCTCGCTGTCTGGATTCTGGGGTTCGATTCCATGGATGCGCTTGCAAGGATACGTTTCGCGCGGATATCTGCGGACAAAAACGCCCCGTAGCCACAGGGTCGCGGCCCAGCGAAGCCGTGGATACGGATGTGTCTTCCGCCCACGACGCGAAATCGGGGCCGACCGCGCGGACACTAGCGCGCGAGCGGTCCGCGTATGACCAGCCTCGGGCCCATCCCAGTCCTCAAGATTGGCAAGCCCCAGGCGGGGACGATCTCAGGGACGAGCCTTGAGAAGCCTGGGGGATCCTTAAGATAGGTATCGTGATGAAGGTGATGCCAATCATTCGGGGGTTGCTCAAAATGTCCGTGGACCAAGGTGTTCCCAGATTTTCGCTCCATTTTGGGAGCCCCTTGGGCCCTCGAGGCCTCGTGAGGGGTGCTCTGCAGGCCGTGCAGGCCTGTTTGCAAATCCTTGGGGCACCTTGGGCCCAGGGACACTTCTGCCACACCCAAGTCGTACTTGCAGGGTGGGCTTCAGGTTGGTAGGCGTGCGCACGCGCGCCAGAGTCTGCTTCTCCACGCGGTGCGCCGCGCTGGCGCCCTGGTTGGGCCTCCGCGTCAGGTCACTTTGGCCCCCTCGCGCAAGACATATCGGACGAAAGCGGGGATAGGAAATTGGGGTGCTACGAAATCTGCTGCATGCAGCCAGTTTCGGCGTCGCCGCTGGGCGTTTTCCTCGATGCGTTGGCGCCTCCGGCGCCGTGAGGCGCCAGGGAAACAAGCTACGTGAGCTGATTCGCCACCTCCCCACTGTTCGTCCGACCAGAGAGACCCGCTTCCCTTCGTCGCTCACGAGGCTGCCTCTCCCTCGATCCTCTTCGCGAGCGCGCCCTGGGCATGGGCATGGGCCGGCACGGGGCTGGCACGGCAGGGGCAGGCCCGTTTCTTTTTCACCGCTGCTCCAGCCACTCCGGCGAGCCCCCTTGTGGGCAGCGACGGCAGCGATGGCGCCCGACGACGACGCAGGCGACGGCGGCGACATGACCGATCCGGGCCCCACGTCCTCGGGCCCGGGCTCGCACGGCCCTCGGCGTCAACACTCGCGAGAAGGCTCGCCCCGCCGCTCCTCGAAGGGGCGCGGTGGATTGCCCGGGCGGCTCTCCCAGGAAGGGGCCTGAAGCCCGGATACAGGGCAGGGCCACGCGGGGTCACCACGGGGGGGGGGACATTGTGGATCTGCTCGGGGTCTGGGCCAGCGGTTGCGGCCTTCTCCTATGCTCCTCCTCGTTCTCCTCCCCCAGGCATCCGACGATGTAAGTTTTGTTCAGCCCTCGGGCTCCAGACCCCTTCCCCAGGAGTGGGACCCTGAACGTCATCCCTGGAGTTCGCATTGGACGGAAAACCGCCAGGACCCCAAAAACGCACGGCGTCGGAGGTCTAGGCCCCTCCCGCCGCCGACGACCACGACGGCGACGACGACGACGACGGCGGCGACGACGACGACGATGACGACGACGATGACGACGACGACGACGAAGAAGGCGACGACGAAGAAGGCGGCGACGACGACGACGACGACGAAGCCGTGTCCAGGAACGGGAAAAAAATGCTCCAGAGCGTTCCGGATAGCTCTCGGAGCTTTCCGAGATGCTCTGAGAAGGTCGCGGCGCCCGATACATCCTTCAGGGCCGCCGGATCTCAGAGATCCCCGATGCATTCCGATCCAGTTTTGTCCCGATCCTGGTTTCGTTTCAACGAACATGACCGTGACCTCGACCACGACCACTACGACGTGGCCGTTCTGCCTCGAGCCATATTGGTCATGGTACGGCGGCGCGCGGGACCCCCATGGAGCCCGTACCCGCTCCAGCCGCTGGCCCCCTGGCCTCATGCCTCGGCTGCGTCGTGGGGGCGGGGCCGCCCCGCCAGGGCTCTGGGAGCGATTCGGGGAAACAGGGCACAGGCCCCGCATCCCCCCTCGTTCTTCTCCCAGTCTCATCCTCCCTATCTTGTCCGCCCACCTCCTTCTTCCCTCCTCCCTCCTTCCTCCTCCCTCCTCCCTCCTCGTCCTCCTGCTCCTCCTCCTCCTCCTCCTCCTCCTCTTCCGTAGCCATTTTGGCTCAAGATGTCTTGTTCCCTCGGGCAGAAGCGGATACCTCTAGTCCGAGGCTAGCTACCGTTTCAGGCAACTCCAGTCGAGCTGCGCGCCGCTGGGGCCAATAGTCTTGCGGTGCTGCCGTGGTGCCGTGGCGGAAGGGCTGCCCCTTCCTTGGCCTGGCTGCCTCGGCTTCTGAGCACCATGGCGCACGTTCGTCGCAGTTGTGTGCCTCCACGTATTCCGACCCTCACTGTCTGGCTCATCCTGCATTTCTCATTCGCGCCATGGGAGTTGCTGGTGTGCCCTTTGCACGTGAGCCTGGCGCCCGCAGCCGCTCTGGTGAACGACGCTCGACAGCCTCGGGCTCCGCGGGGTCCCCTGCCTCGACGGTCGACTCGCTGCAGCAGAACGAGCCATGGCGACCACAGGGGGATGGAGATGCGGCTTCTACTATGCAACGGGGTATCGCTGCCCTCGAATTGCGAATCCAGACCTCGCTCAAGAAGCATATGTAAGATGCTGCCAGTGCCATCCAGAACGTTGTCTCCGCATCATTCAGCTCCATCTCCGCGGAGATCGATGAGAATATCATACCGCAGGTGGAGCGCATCGACAAGCACCAACATGAGCTCACGGCTCTGCAGGCGACCACGGCGAAGCTGGCGACCGACAACTCAGAGATGCGGGAGCAGATCCGAGCCATGCAGCACACGCTCGCGCAGGTGGACAAGCTTGGCCGCAGTGACGCGCCTGACATCATGCGCTTCGCCACCTGGGATCGCGCTCCCGACCCTCAGCTATTCGTCGCCAGTTGCAGAAAGGTTGTCACCCCGCAGGCCATCAGGGACGCGATCGCATCGTGGAGTCAGGCAGCCTCCGTGGACATCGACTGCGTCGCGATCAATGAGAAGGAGCCCGCCAAGCGCTTCCACCTATACATTCCTGGCGCTGCCGGAGGCAAGGCCAGGGCGTTCAACCTCGCCAAGCATCTCAATCCAGTGGAAAAGTGGAGGGAGTTCAGCGTGCAGGCTACGGATGGATACAGGAGCGGCTTTACGTCAACTTTGACAAGAACCCGACGGCAATACGTCTGGAGGTTCAAACGAAGAAGTTGCCGGACTATGCCAGCAAGCCAGAGCAGGAGACTGGTGGATGCAGCGCATTGCGGGCCTGGTCCACTGCGGGGCGGTTCCTGTTGCGGAGGTGGTCACGATGGGCATGGAGGGGGCGTCCAAGGTTCACTGGAGTCCAGCTGTGCGTTCCGAACTCCTGCTGGGCACCGCTGCCATCATGGGCACCTTCCGTCAGCTCTTCCGTCCGGTTGATACCAGCTCATGGTCGTCTTCCTAGCAGTCGGTGGACCCCGTGGCTGCGCCCGGGCGATCCCACTACCTGCAGGATTGTGTCATGGAGCGCACGTGGGCTTCTCTGCTGTCATCGGCAGAAGCGACGGCGGAATCTGGCCAAGCTATATGACTTGATGCGAAACAATGCTATCTTAGTGCTGCAAGAAGTTCATGGGTTTGGGATGACGTTGCAGAACCTCACCAACAGAAACACCTATCACTACAAGATCTACTTCAGTGGCACCGTCTCCTCGGCAGCTGGCGGGGTTGCCATCTTAGTGCCCATGTTCAACGCGAGTGGACGAACGGAGCTCGATGGGCCGATCTTCGCACGCAAAGTCATTGTCCCTGGGCGCGTGCAGAAATTGCACATTCAGAGCCCGAAGACTCGAGCTGCAGCACGCATTTGCAATGTGCACAATTTTGAGATCAGCGCCGAGGTCAGGGCTGCGATGAAGCGCTACTGGGAAGATAACAGCAAGTGGGCACATGCGGCTCCGCAACATCGGCTTTTCGTTACCATTGAAGACTCTAATTTCAGTGACAGCCCACGTGCAAATCTACTTCGACCGCAGCCGCGCCAGGCACAAAGGTCGACGGAGGGCAGAGCGAATCACTCAGAGCCTTCCTGGCGCAAGATGATCCGTGGCTCACGGTATATGACAGAGATCGCCGCGCCGATCCCGTGGCACTTCGACAAGCATACGAACCAGATGACATGCATTGACGGGATCTTCGTGTCGCTCCCACCACAGTGCAAGCGGGAGGCACAGATCGCGGTCAATGCGGAGTATGACGCCCAGGAGCTCTCGCTGTGGGGCCTCAGTGGTCTTGCAATAATCGAGTTGGCGTTGGAGACTCGGAGGGAGGCTCGGAAGCACGAGCAGGCCATCCCACCATTCATCTTCACCACTGACGTTTACGCGAATCAGCTTGAGGTCAACATTGCCGCCAGTGAAATGGAGGACATGTCGACCCATGCGCAGTGGGAGTGTGTCAAGCGCTAGATGATGCTGGCGGCGGAGAGGGCGCGCAACCGCATGATGCAGACCGACATCGGCGAGAAGACTGAAGACGCGCTGGAGGCCAAGGCGATGGCACTGCGGGCGGTGGCGCGTGCTGTCTGGAGGCAGGACATGCGCCTCGGAGAGGCGCAGCCGTGCTTCCGTGCTGGGCGCGCAGCACCTGCGCGTGGCAGGTGGCGTCATCAGCGCCATCGGCGAGAGCGCGTTCGAGGCGGAGGTCCTGGCGTGCAATGCGGCGCGCTTTGACCGCGCCTTGCGGAGTGCCGGGCCAGCTCATGGTGGGGTGGGGGGCAGACTTGGCGGGAGGGCTGCAGAGAAGCTTCTCGACGCGCGTTGCTCTGGAAGCCCCAGGGCCGCCGTCTGGTTTTGCAGGGCATTCAGCATTCCCAAGAAGGTCACGGAGACGCGGTTCTCAGAGGTGCCCAGAATATTTCCGATGCGATCGCGGCCCAGTGGGGGCCAGCATTTAAGGAAATAGTTGAGGACACCCCAGCCCAGGAGGCCTTGATTGAAGAGCGCCTCCCCCTCCCTGAGCCTTTTGATCTCCCCCCCCACCCCTGAAGACCCCCGACAGGCTCTCAAGCTGGGTGGGTCCTCCTCCCCTGGGCCCGACAGATTCACTTACAAAGCCTGGCTTGCTCACCCCGAGCTCGTTCTCGTCCCCCGTGCCATTCTGTGCCCTCTTTTCCGCAGTGCCCCCCCCCCCTTGATTTGAATCATGACATTTTTGCCTTCGCCCCTAAAGGCGAAGATTAGCTCGACCCTGTAGACTGCGCGAGGCAGCCAGTGCAATTGCCCGATTAAGTTTGACAAGTTGTGATGCTACGGCGATGGCCACTTCCATCGACAGATGCCTGAAGCGAGTGGCGGAAGCTCGCGCGCACACTGTGCAGCAAGGCTTTGTCATTGGCCGAGATTTTACCAGGCATATCGTCAGACTCGATGCGCTGTGTAGAATAGCCAGTCTAGGATCATATACTGAACAACGCATGCCAGTCTTCGTTAGCTTCGACGTCAAGGCAGCTTTTCCAGGCATGAATCAGATCTGGCTAGGTAGAGTCCTTTCGCGGTTCCATATCCCCACCCCTTACATCCACGCCATTCGCGCTTTAATGTGCGGTGCTGTTGGGATTCTCAGGTGGGATCGGAGCCCCGAGAGCTTTCCACCGTCCCCTCAGGTGCGCCTCGGGGCTGCCCCCTCCCGGGGACTCTCTGGGCCCTCGGCGTGGGCCCCATCTTTCGAGCGCTAGTTTCGCCCATCGAATCCGCGGGGGGCTCGAAGCAGGAGCTCGGCGCCTTCGCTGATGATGTAGGGGCGGCGCTAGGCAACATTCGTCCCCTCCCCTCGCTCCTCTCTCCCTTTGAGGCTGCTGCTGCCCTTGCTGGCCTCCTTCTCCAACAGAAGAAATGTTGCCTTGTGCCCCTTTGGAGCGAGCCGAGCGACTAGTCGTCGACGGCGTCGGGGCCTCTCTCCAAGCATCTGCCGCTTTATGGGCAGATTTTTTAATTGCGCCCGCCGCGATACATTTTTGGAGTATTGTTTGGACCAGGCGCGACCCTGGAAGATGAATGGAACACCGCTGGGCAGGAGTGGTGGAGTCGAGCGAGAGAGGCGGGCGAGAGTAGAGCTCCAACGGCCGCATCCATCACTCTTTACAATGTACGTGCCAACAGCGTGCTCTCGTACCTCGCCCAATTTTTCCAATGTCTTTCATCATCCTGAATAGAGAGCGGTGGGCTCTGCGCAAAATGCTCCGCATTCTTCCCAGCTCGTTCAAGCTCACCGAACTGAATTCCATTGGTGCATGGATCCCATCTGGAGCGCCAGAATCAGTTTTAGTATCGACTGTAGCCGCCGGCTGGAGAACGGCGACCAAGAGGTTGGACGGGCAGTGGGGGCCTTGGGTGGAGCGACGCGAGCAAGCTATTCTCGGGTACGGGTCGGTTGTAGATTGGTGCAAGGGAAAATGGTCTGCCCAGTGCTGGTCCTTGCAGCGTAGCATAGCCCAGCAGCTTGGAGTGTGAAGCGGACGCTGGCACCCGCGCGCGGCTGACCGCCCGCGAAGCCACCTGCTTCCCGCGCGAGACATCGCGGAGGCAGCGGCTGCAGCGCTGGTCGTGGACTCGCTCTTTCCGTATCGCTCCGAGGATAGGGGTCTCCTGCGACGGGGCAGTGGTGAGAGCCTCCAATCTCGTTTCTCTTCTGCCCTGTCCGCTCGTCTTTACCCCGGCTCCCTTCACCTCCTTCTCCACCGTCGCCTTTCCTCTTGGCTCCGTTCCGACGATGTGCCCTGCATTGAGGAGATGAGGCGGCGATGGGGGTATTTGAAACCCGTTTTAATGGCGGCCCCCCCGATGCGATTTTGGCTTTTTCTGAAAACGGTCGCTGGAGTGTGGATCACTGCGCGCAGAATTCATATCCTCACGCCGCTGCCGTGTCGATCCGGATGCGAGCATTGCCCGGATGC